AAGATTTGGAATTATTTTATTCTCGATGAAGTACACCCAAATGCTAGCAAATTCTTCGGCAGATAATCCACCTTCTACTTCGTTCCATATGAAGCAATAAGACTTGCAACTTCGTGCGGTAATAAAGGCTGCTTACTTGGGATTTTGATGCCATTAAGACCGCTTGCAGATCAATAGTAAACACGAAGGTTTCTTCGATTTTGTCCTTTTGTTTCTCATCCCTAGCTTCATGTTTTTTTGCCTGGTGAAGATTGTAGACGTCAACCAAAATATCTCCCACAGTATGGCGCGCACAGATTTCACACTGATCTTTTTTAGGGAAGAATAGAAGCTTTTGATCCGCAAAGGCGTTATAAAATGCTGAAATAGAGAGTGGGGGGTTTCCACGTGCATTACACCAATCCTCTACGTAAAATTCGAAGAGTTGGTTTTTTGACGACCATTCTGGCAAAAGATATTTTTTTTGAGTTGTTGCACGGCAGTAATGTGATTCCATGGTTGGCAGAGAATTGACAAACGAATTTAGACATTCACGTGCAATGCTACAATTTTGTTGTGGTGCGTTCTGTGTAGTGTTTCTTATAATCGCAGTACCCACCGGGGGAAGCAGAGGTAGAGAAAGACCCCCACTCTGCTGCAAGGGCCAGGTGGAGAAGGACCTGAAAGTTTCCCATACATGAACTTGAATCTGATTGTTCAGTTTGTATGACAGCTATATGCTATAGTAAGCCGATCTTAACAATTTCTTCGGAGATTACATTGTTGCCCTAGAAAATAATTTGTGCCAACTTTTGTTCTTTGGAGATTACATTGTTGCCTTAGAAAATAATCTATACCAAATTTCGTGGATATATCTTGTAAAATGCAAAAGTTTTCCATACTATTACTAGATTTAGATCGTTCAGTTTGTATAGCAGCTATAAGGTGTAGTAAGCCGATCTGAACAATTACTTCGTATATTACATTATTATCTTAGAAAATCACCTGTGCCAACTTTTTTGAAAATACATTGTCAAATGTGAAAGTTTCCCATACAAGAACTTGATTCCGATCGTTCATTTTGTATGGCAGTTATATGCTATAGTGGTCCGATATCGGCAGTTCCGACAAAGGAGCAGTTTCTTGAAAAGAAAATGCAGTTTGCAAAATTTCAAAAGGATATCTTAAAAACTGAGGGACTAGTTCGTATATATACAGACGGACATGACTAGGGTCTCCGACGCTTCTTTCTGGGTGTTTCAAACTTCGTGGCAAACTTAATATACCCTATTCAGGGAATAATGAATATTAATGAACGAAATAATTTTGTCAGGTCAAAAAGACTTTGCACAAGTTGCCTGTCACATACGCATAAAATTGCAAAAACAAATTTAATTGCTTATATTGTCACAAAATACATTTAATACCCCATTACAGCACATATCCCATCTCACCGCAAAGAAGAACTTATACAAAAAGAACCACGGGTTTAATTGCAAAATCCCGAAAACCAAAATACCTAAAAATATCACGAGACAGAATTCAGCTTAAAGTTACAAAAATTTCAAATGCTATACAGCGAAACTCAAAGTAATCTATTTACAAAACCAGGTACCACCATGACAACTCAAGTTGAGGAAACCTCAAACAAATACATTTATTCACAATTAAACAAATTTGGAGGTATAGGGAAACTTCCTCCTGTATTAAATACAACTTTAGAAGATAATATTGTGAGAACTTTGCGATGTTTTGGTAAAACTCCTCATAACTGTCTCTATATGCAGTGGCGGATCCAGAGACGACTCTTGGAGGGGGTTGGGGGGCCAAATTGAATTTATCCTTCGATTTGGGTTTCATACTTATTAGAGAACAAACAAATTATGAAACAAAAATTATCAATTCCAATTTTTAGGTAAACAAATTGGTTATAATCGAAAAGCCAACCATATGCATGCATTACATAGTGGCTCATTTTATTAAAAATTCAAACAGGAAAATCCTTTTACATTGCGTGTTTCATAACGCAAAACGATGACTGCCAAGTTTTGCGAATCTTTCGGAGACTTCTTCGGCGGTGATTTCGATGTCATGTAGCATATGAAGCAACGCTAATCCAACTAGTCTTTCTTGAAGCATGGTCGTCCTAAGCCATGTTTTGATGCGGCGAAGATAAGAGAAAGAACGTTCAGAGCTCACGTTTGTTACCGGAAGTGTACAGAATACTTGGAGATAAGTGTGGATTGTTGGGAATATGTCGACATCACATTCTCTTAATGTTTCCAGTGCAGAAGTTGGAATTTCGCTGTCTTCAACTTTTTGTTGCTGCTGCCAGTGACATAGCCAGTAGCTTAATTTACCTTTCAACTTCAATTTTTGTACGCTTTCTTCATCATCCAGAAGATTCCCGAATCTTTATATCAAGCATCTGATTAGCTCATTGATTTCGTTTTCTTTTATAAGACTTGCTTTTTCTGGCAGCAACACACTCAATTGGTAAGCACGAGCTTCCAAATCTTCTTTGATGGTATCCAGGAGAGGTATGTAGACAGAGACCCTGTAGAAATCTTTGCAAGTTTTCACGTCGTAATTCTCGCGTTTCGTTTGTCGACCACATGTTCTCGGAACATCGAGCTTTACCGCCATTTTCTTGGCTTCTAAATAAATCGATCGGAATGTTTCATCAACTTTTTCCCTCTTTTTTTCCAACGTGGCAAGCAGCGTCCCCATCATTTTTGATGCCTTCGCTAAATCAATTTCTTCCTTTTGAAGAACTATGCTGAGCGAATGGGTGAGCGATAGAATATCGCTGAGACAGAAGAGCCCGACGATAAATTCGTATTGAACAAAGCCGATATGAGAATTGTTGCTTTGCCTGCTGTTTCTCTGTTCTTCCACTCACTGATTTTTGACAGAGCTTCGACGATCATCCGTAACTTCGCAACAAATTGAAGGACAGCATCGTGCCTTTCTACCCATCTTGTTTCACACAAGTGGACAATTTTTTCACCAAGTATCTTTGCTAATACAGTCACACGATTCGGAAATGAGTTCTTGAAGAATTTGTTGACTTCTCTTATGGCACTGGCAACGTTTTCGATTAATCGTACTTTCACTGACTTTGAAATACTGATTGTTGATGAAAAATGTAATTAGCTTTATGTTTCAAATATTTATTTTAATCGTAAGGCAACTCTGTTTAAGCACACTAAAATATGTAATGGCTTCTTCCGGTTTTACTTTCTTACAAGTAGCCGAGGAGAAACCACGGATAAGTAATAGAAATTATCAATTTTTATATACAGTACATTAAACCCTTTCGCCTTTGCAAACGTTTCTTTGAATAAAGTGTTTTTAATATATTCGTGTTTTCTTTTTTTATCAATTGCCGCTGCAACATTATTTTAATATTTACCCCCGTTTGCCATCGTAAATTATTGCATGCCACGGTACAATTTAAGAAGTCAAAAACACATAACGCTAATCCATCAAAAATGCCGATTTCAAATGAAGATTCCTTTAGCGATAACGATGGAGACCGCGTAATAGTCATGGCAGACAACGCAGTTGCAGACTTACAAAAACAAATACGTCAGTTGCAACTATCTTTAGAAGCCTCCGAAAAGAGAGGTTATCTCTGAAACAAGCAATCGCCTCGACAACTGCTGCCGTCGATGCCAAGACTACTGGGTCACTTGCCGACTCTTTTCAAGTCAGTGTTGCCGCATCTGTTAAGCCAATGTATGCCTATACAAATACAGCCGATAATTTTGCCTACTCATTGCCACACATGAGCCATGCCAACGCCGCCGTTCTTGCTCCACCGAATTCTAACGTCAGCGCTGCCGCCGTATTTTTCGCCAGTTCTATTGCTTATACAAATTATAACTACAACCCTACATCAGCCCACCATAATATGCCCAGCTATATGCAGCCTATTACGCCTCATTTGAATGTCACGTTACGTTGTTACATGCAGGTAACTTTTCGCCGATTGTAAATTTTGCTGATATTAAATCTACAGCCGCCACATCTTTAAACAACGCACATTCGTCACCTATGCAGAATAATAACCCATTAATGTCGCCAAATAACCAACATTTTATACGCAAACTTCAAGATTTACCACAGTTTTCAGGCTCACCCGAAGAGTGGAGAATGTTTATCGTCGCCTTTAAAGAGACAACAAACATGTTTGCATACAGTAATGTAGAGAACTTACTGAGCTTACAGAAAGCTCTTAAAGGAGATGCCCGGTCAAAAGTTGAATCGCTATTAATTCACCCTTCAAGTGTGAATGCGGTGATATCTTCGTTACAGTTTCATTATAGACGACCTGAACTACTGATACGGAGCCAGCTCACAAAAGTCAGATCGTTTCCATCAATCACAAGTGGAAAAATTCATGAAATCGCCAATTATAGCTCAATGGTAACAAATTTAGTCGCATTTTTGGAGAACGCCCGTGCTGCACCTCATCTTTCAAAACCAACACTGCTCGATGAATTGGTAAGTAAACTACCTATTTACAAACGGGAAGAATGGGCACGTCATACATTTGCAATAAATAAACCATACCGAACAATATGTGAATTTAGTTCGTGGTTACAACAGATGTCAACATACGTTGTAATGGCAACAGAACTGAATACACCACACGTGAGTTCCGAACAACCATCACGAAAATGTAATAGATCACCAAAAACAGTGCTAACCATATCTGAAGAAAAATTTAAATGTATATTTTGTAAAGATAATCATCGATTGTATCAATGCATGAAATTTAATAAAGTTAATAACGACAAGCGATGGGAAATTGTAAAAACTAATCGCTGTGTTTTTGTTGTCTTTCTCCAGGTCATAATGTTTATAATTGTACACGACGTCGTACATGTGTGTGTCTGGCATCATGCCAGAAATATCATAATAAATTACTTCATAATCAAGTCGTTCAAAATGCCAACATTGGCAACTCCGAATCTGCTGTTGCTACTGTCAGCACAGCTAATATTTTGATTAAAAGGGTAGGTGTAGAAAACACAAACAGAAATAAAACTTTATTGAAATTTTTACCAATTAAATTATATGGCCCAAAAGGTAGCATTAAAGTTATAGCCTTCATTGACGATGGTGCTAGGGTTACTTTAATAGAAGAAGAAACTGCAAATCAAATTGGCCTTAGGGGCAGAAAGGAGTTTCTTCGACTCAAATGGTTTGATGACCAAACCAATCGAAAGTTATTTTGATGCAATGCCAAAAATTTTAATAGGAATGCCCCATATAAACTTACCGTGCGATTCTGTACTGTGATACAGTATCAAGTCTCTAAATTTGACAGAGACAATATTTGAGACTTGAGAAGATTTTGCTATACTGTAAGTGATAGTCACAAACTCTATTACATTTCATTATTCGGAGATGTTTATATACTTGAATAGCCGGCAACGAACTGGCTGACGAGCTAGCCCGCTCCGCAGCCTACACCAATATAGTTGGGCCCGAACCTTTCACTGGGGTGGGTCCCCATACTGTGAAGGAGCTGCTCCGCAAGGAAGAAAGAGTGGGCAGGGAAAGGTATTGGCAGCGAGTGCACGGTATGCGTCATTCCAAACTGCTAGTTGAGGGGTACAACCAGATGAGGTTCAAATCGTTAATAAACCTCCCAAGAAACAAACTCAGGATCCTGGTCGCATTTTACACCGGCCACTGCAAGCTAAAAAGGCATTTAGCTAACATGGGCCTATCATCTTGCGCCAACTGTCGGTTTTGCGACAGGGAGTCTGAAACCCCGGAGCACCTGTTAATCGACTGCATTGCAGTCTGTAGGCGTAGATCGAAAGCCCTTGGTGCCATGTTTCCGGATAGGGATCACATCGCCTCGCTAGCACCCAGCAGAATACTGGTCTTCGTCAATATGCTGGGGCTAAGCGAGTCCCTGTGAGTTAGGAGAGGGCACAATAGACATAAGGTCGCAGTGCATTCCTCAATTATTTATCCATCTCTCTTTCTATACTTTAATGAAAACAAATATTAAATTTTCTATTACGTAGCCAAAAAACATAATTATCAATAAAAAATAAAAATATATGTTGACTTTGTTTCATAATATTAACGTTATTTATTTATTTTTAACCTTTTCGTGTTTGAGTTGCTTACAAAATATAAAAAAACGACAATCGATTAATATCTATGGTGATCTCTATTCAGTATATTCAAAATGGCAGACAAAAGTTCTTTTTGGTTTTGTGACTTGCTAACTTCCAGGTCTCAAATTTGAGGCAATATTTTGAGACTAAAGCTAGAGACTGTATAGTGAATAGTAACTAGTCACAAATTGAGATTTTACCACAAAATGTCTCAAATAGAGACTAGAGACTGGTTACAGAATCTATTAGTTCGACCATTGAATGTAGTTAATTTTAATGAAGGTTTTATTGTTCATGAGACTAAACTAGGCTGGATTTGGTTTGGTTCAGACGAAAACAATTCCGATTCGCCATCAATTTTCCACGTACATATTGACAATGGTTTCAATGACTTACAAAAGCAAATCGCTGATTATTTTGAATTAGAAGGCTTTCAAACAATATTTCCTGCTATAAAGTCTACTGCAGACATTAGAGCCGAAGAGATCTTGCGCAGTACAACGAAGTTCGTGGGTCTTTTATGGAAAAACGACAACATATCTCTGCCAGTGAGTTATAACGCAGCACTAAAACCACTTCAAATTGTAGAACGCAAAATGGCAAGTGATATTAATTACAAAAAATGGTATATAGAAAAGGTAAACGACTACGTAGATAAGGGTTATGCCAAAAAACTTACTTCGGATGAAGTTGATATACAGAGCGAGTGAATATGGTATTTACCCCATTTCGCGGTTTATAATGTAAACAAAGGCAATAACCCAAGATTGGTGTTCGATGCGGCCTCGACAGTAGATAATATTTCTTTGAACTCTATGCTATAGTTATCAACCGAAACCATTGCAGTCAATTTTATTCAAATTTCGTGAAGGGAATATAGCTATTTGTGGTGATATAAGAGATATTTCCATCGCATAAACATACGGGAAGAAGATGTAAATTCACAACGATTTTTATGGCGTGAAGGGGATACCATGAGGCAGCCTGATGTTTATGTCATGAAGACAATGATTTTTGGTTCTGCTTGCTATCCATGCTCTGCGCAATTTGTGAAGAATTTAAATGCATCAAAATTTCAAAATGACCATCCGAGGGCAGTCGATGCAATCATTAATCGCCACTATGCTGACGATTATGTGGATAGTTTTAGCACCGTTGATGAAGATATATGAGTATCGGAAAGGGTGAAAGAGATTCACAGAAAAGCTGGATTCGTTCTCAGAGGCTTTGTTTCGAACTCCTCAAAATTATTGAAAGCCATTAGCAGAAACTCCGAGCCTGAGTGTGTCTCAAAGAATATGTGTGGATCAAAGTCAACAAATGATAAGGTATTAGGGATGCACTGGGATGTTAAGCGAGATTTATTATTTTATAATTTAATATTCGCTAGAATACCGACATCAGTGTTAAATGGCAGTCGACGTCCAACAAAAGCAGAATTGTTGGGTTTAAGGATGTCAATATTTGATCCATTTGGGCTCCTCGTAAATGTTACTTTGATTCCTAAAATTTTGTTGCAAAGATTATGGCAACTTAATCTGGGTTGGCATGATACAATACCCAACGATTAGTTGGTTCTGAATCGTTTTACTGGTATAGGTCGCTCTTGAAGCGACTCTACTCTTCTGAATCTCAGCAAAGCCCTGAAATTCCCTTCGTGTTGCACGGGCGTTTTATTTTTTCGAATATCTCGGTCATCTCTATGCCCACGAAGTGGGATGTTCTGCTTTCCGCAAAAAATGACCGTTTTCACAACGGGGATAGTCGTTTGTGGTTCGTAGTGTGAACTGACGCTAGGTCAGTTCGTTGTAACTTGCGATTATCGAACGCCCCATTAATTCGATACCTTTGCGGGCATATATGTCTCATACTGTACTCAAGACTTCGACTCTTTCTCAATTCAGAATTTAGTACTTCCGCTGTGAGTCGCGCAGAGAAGGGTTAAATAAGTTTAGACAGGTCATATAATGCAATTTATGATAGTATCTTGTTGTGATTTCCATTTGGTGAGAAGAGTGTCACTGTTGTATTTTAATTTTTTTATTGCAGAGAATATTTTTCTTGCAAACAAGTGAAATTTTCAAGTGAAAGTTCAGTTTCCCTAATTTCCAAACCCCCGTGCATCCGCCACTGCCATATGCGGACAACAAAAAAACAATATTCCAAAAATTGTGGCACAGTAACAGGCCTCCTAAGAATTTCCGGGACTGCGATCATTTTCGATCTCCCCCACCCACTCTCTTTCATAGGATTTATGGCCAATTTACATAGAACTTTTGATCAACATATTTGACCACATAAACGAACTCTTACTCAAGGTAATAATTTTTCGCACAGTTTTCTACCATCTTGCTTGTTATGGTTTAGTAATATGTCCTTAACGCCGGCCGTAAATGGTAGTGTATGGGATATCTCAAGACTTTTTGTTATAGTTAATATTTTTGCAGCAAACGACACAATTCAAGGAGATAAGGGAATAGTGTTTAATATCAATGGAAAAATTTATGTAAAGTGAAAACTGCTGTCTGGCTTGTAAACATCTTAAGTATTACATTTTTCACTGTGGCTAATACATAGATAATACTACTACTACCATCTATATGATTGATATCTGTGGATTATAACTGTTAGTTAATGAGATAAAGCATTTTTGTGAAGCAACTTCTTTTAGTTTACAAAAAATGGATTATAAAGCATTTATGTCTTAATTAATCATTGCTTTTTGGGGAAAAATACTGTTGAGTTTGGGCTCAGGAAATACAACCGTTGAAAAGATATTTCCTAAGCTGGAAACAGGCGAAATGAGCACCGAGGACAATGATGCTCTAAAGAGGTGAAGGCTCTGTGCAAAGTGGGTGCCTCGCAAGTTTATTATCCAATAAAAACAATGATAAACTGGTTCGGAGAAGTGTTTAAGTGCTCTCTTATCGTAATAGAACCGAATTTTTGAGTCGATGTGTGATAATGGAAGCATAGCACCATCTTTCCCATCGATTTAATTTTTTTTATCTTTAGATATTTAAATCTGTTTAATTTTTAATATTACAAGTTTAAAATGTATATACAATTAGAGAAATGTATATACTATTATTTTCCAATATCGACAGTTAATAGGTTTTTTCGATCATTCCTTACAAAAAAAAAAAAAAAAAAAAAAAAAAAAAAAAAAAAAAAAAAAAAAAAAAAAAAAAAAAAAAAAAGCACAAAACACTTACCACATGATAAAGAAACTAACAACCAAGAAAAGTGAGGATTTTACAAATCTATTGAATTTGCTGCATATATGTATGTAGATATAATAATTTTATTTAATTTTAGGATTCTAGTATGTGAAAGAACAACTGAGGAGCGGCTGCAGCATTCTTCTCTTTACTGCCGTAGACACCGCTTACGCGATTATAACCGAGTTAACAACAGCGCCCCAGTCGTTTCTTCTTTTCGCTACGTGGCGCCAATTGGATATTCCAAGCGAGGTCAGGTCCTTCTCCACCTGGTCCTTCCAACGGAGTGGAGGTCTTCCTCTTCCCGGCGGGTACAGCGTCGAATACCTTCAGAGCTGGAGTGTTTTCGTCCATTCGGACAACACTACCTAGCCAGCGTAGCCGCTGTCTTTTAATTCGCTGAACTATATCAATGTCGTCGTATAGCAGCTCATCGTTCCATCGAATGCGATATTCGCCGTGGCCAAAGCGTAAAAGACCAAAAATCTTTCGCAGAACTTTTCTCTGGAAAACTCGCAACGTCGATGTTGGTTGTTGTCATCGTCCAAGCCTCTGCACCATGTAACAGGGCGGAAATTATGAGTGACTTATAGAGTTGGGTTTTTGTTTGTCGAGAGAGGACTTTACTTACAATTGCCTACTCATTCCGTGGTAGCACCTGTTGGCAAGAGTTATCTTGAGTTGGATTTCCAGGCTGACATTGTTGGTGGTGTTTACACTGGTTCCAAGTTAGACGAAATATAGAACATGATGACTGTCAACAGTGACGTGAGAGCCAAGTCGCGAGTGCGACGACTGTTTGTTTGATGATATCAATATCATCTGCAGCATTACAGCATGTTATTTAAACATAAATAAATATTTTTTCATTCACACATGTGTGAAATACATACAAATTTACAAATAAAATTTTGTCCGAATTGTTTAAACATAAATATGTATATGTATTTTTATACTCTCTTAACAAAGTTGCTAAAGAGAGTATTATAGTTTTGTTCACATAACGGTTGTTTGTAAGTCTTAAAACTAAAAGAGTCAGATATAGGGTTATATATACCAAAGTGATCAAGGTGACGAGTAGAGTTGAAATCCGGATGTCTGTCTGTCCGTCTGTCCGTCCGTCCGTGCAAGCTGTAACTTGAGTAAAAATTGAGAAAACTTGGTACACGTATTTCTTGGCTCCATAAGAAGGTTAAGTTCGAAGATGGGCAAAATCGGCAAACTGCCACGTCCACAAAATGGCGGAAACCGAAAACCTATAAAGTGTCATAACTAAGCCATAAATAACGGTATTAAAGTGAAATTTGGCACAAAGGATCGCATAAGGGAGGGGCATATTTGGACTTAATTTTTTTACTACTAAAATGTCAGAAACACTAAATTTTACGGAAAAAATGTCAGAAGCTGCATCCAGGCTTTTTTTTAAATTGAAAATGGGCGTGGCGTCGCCCACTTATGGACCAAAAACCATATCTCAGGAAGTACTCGACCGATTTCAATGAAATTCGGTATATAATATTTTCTTAACACCCTGATGACATGTACCAAATATGAAATCGGTTCACTTTATCATGCAAGAGTATAAAATGTTCGGTGACACCCGAACTTAGCCCTTCCTTACTTGTTATTTATAATTTTCATAACGTAAAACGTAAAAACTGAAATCCAATTATTAAAAAGTGTTTACATATTTATAAATAACTACACGTTTTTAACGATACAACGGTGTTGAGTTTTCACTTATATTGAAACAGCAATATCGCTCTAATGAGAAACACAACCATTACGTTGTCACAACGGAAGGGCGGCACGTAAAATCTAAATTAAGCATAAGTTAAAAGTACTATATAACTACAACTCTGCGTGCCGAAAGGGGTTTCTATCAACAAATATGTACACTTCTGAGCCGTTGCTACTACCTCCTAAAATTTATGTGCTGAACACATATAAAGCGACATCTGTCAAATATTATAGCACCACGTTCTTATGGACACAGTTATTCAGACAGCTGCCCAACTACATAACTGTGTCCATAAGAACGTGTGTATTTGAAGTGTGTCGCACGCTGTGTGTTCAGCACATGATACTTAATACAATGTAATAATTAATTGTACTAATATTTTAATAAAAACTTTCTAAAATTGTTACTTTATTAATAAATTATGTATACTTTCCGTAATGTCAGTTCAATTACTATTTGCGTTTTAATATAAATTGTAAAAATAATAGAATTGAATAATCATAAAGCTTGATATTTTAAATATTGAAATATGATCAATTATACAATTAATAAATGCATGTCTACATTATTTTAGGATTGCTTGCAACTTTCTTTTCCATGGAAAGTGCAGAGGTAGTGTAATATTTGATGCGGGTTGCATTTTATGTCTATATTTTCACTGGAAAACCGTTGGAAAAGTAGGAAAATTTTTAGTACGAAGCCGTTAACCCTGAATGCACACCGCTACTAGTAGATACAGTGCATTTAT